AGTCTTCAAATAACCAGAATAATTATTTTTGGATTATTAAAAATAACATTCCAGTTTTGGAATGTTTAAATAATTTAAATTCTTGAAAACTGACAGTTCTATTTTTACATATGACTTTACTACATTGTATACTAAAATAGACCTAAAAGATTTAATCAAGGTTTTCAATGATTTGTTTGATAACTTTATAAAGAATGAAATAATTATACCCAAATTTAAATTTACTAGAATTCAATGTAAAAGTATACTCCAATACTGTATTTATAACAGTTAAATTGGTTTTAACAAACAAGTATATAAGCAGACGGTGGGTATTCCAATGGGAACGAACTTCTCTTCAAATATGGCCAACCTGTAACTGTTCTTTTATGAAAAGTCATTTAGGAAGCAGACTTTAAATCCGAACTCACACATTTACACTTTCCGTTACATAGATGATTTAATATCTACAAATAATATGAATTTTATACCAAACCCAATATATCCAACATAACTTACAATAGAAAGAAGTAATAATAATAGTAATGAGATCCATGCTAATTATTTAAATTTGGACATTACTTTTATAGAAGGTACAGAGTGGTTGACTATTTTTGATAAAAGAAGAGAATTTAATTTTCCCATTCTTGGTCTACCCACACCTAATAGTGTTATTCCGTGTATCATGTTAAAAGGTGTTATTATATCTCAACTAAAACAGTTCTTAATAGTCTGCAATAATTATATTTTTTATGGATAATGTTTTATTATTAAAAAATAAATTGAAAGATGTAAAGACAGGCAATTAAACAAATACCTTAATTTATTTTTTTAATAAATACAAAAATATTTTAGAAACTAAACTATCGATTAAAAAAAATATCTTATAAATAAAATACAGAGGGATTTAGTTACTTTAGCTTATAAGTAGCTAATAATAATAATTTTTCTAGTAATTTTATTCAGTATAACCGGAACGGAAAGACTAACTTCAAGTAGGTGGGCTTGTCTCAACGTTCCCGTGTTATACATGAATAAATTTTCAGTAGAAAGGGAAGAGGTTGGGAGTTAGAACTATATAAGAACTTTTAAGGTAGAGTGTACAGTTCTATTTAATATTTTATATTTCTATTTAATATCTTTTTATAAGGGTGGAGGTTGGGAGTTTAATTAGTAGAAATATTAGGGTGGCTTTATTTCAATTCATTTCTACTTTAAGAAATTTAAAGGTAACTTGCCTTCCTACAACTGGCTATAGAGAGTGAAAGGCAGTAGAAGCTGAGACGTAAGATATAAAATGTGCCATGGGTTTTGGAGATGACTGCGGAAGTAAGACCCACATGTTATATCACACATTACAGCCTGTACCATGGGGATCCTCTTGATTTGTGTAGCGTCTTTGATTTCATTTTTGTTTGGGGTTATTTTTGTTCACTTGGATA